CACTCTTCTCAAGCTGAAGATGCTTAGAAGTAGTGATAATCCTTATGACATGGCTAACTGACAGCAGCCTATCTTGTTCATTATCCCATTAGGGACTGGCAGAGAAAAACTTGATATATATGTTCTTATATTTAAGAACTTGACAATATCTTTCAATAGTTCGGACAACATCCTTTGGTAGCATAGAGATTTCTTTTAAGGGTTCTGATAGGTAAATACAGATTATATTTTCCATCTCAAAAAGAGTACGAACCCAGTAGGCTGAGGCTCCCGGATATAGGTTGACTTTATTATACATTCCATACGTGAGAGTTTTCATCCATCCTCCTATACTGGTAAACTAGCAGCAGGCAACATTGAACAATAAGTATACCAAAATAAAATCATCTTTATTTTTGATATCCATAACACCAGGGGTGTTACATGATTTGATAATATTTGAGGTGTTCAGCTCTGGTATAGAGATAGTATCCTTTGTAAGTTTTTTCTCCTATGGGGGAGACAGAGTAGTATTCTCTTTGACTGAAAGTTTATGAAGCTCCAATGCTTCTTGTTCAATATTGGCACAATGACTTTCAGATTTATTGGCACTAGGGCCTTCAGATAATATAGACTTGTTAGCTTTCTCAAATATTGGTTTTGCAGCAGCCATTTCCAATAGTATTATCTTGGATTCCATCGTAGCAATCTTTATGCACATCTCGAACTTCAATGCTTCTAGTTCCTTCTTGATTTGCCCCATTCCTGGTTATGAAATCTAAAATAAAATTGTATTTTCCGTTAATATGGACAATATCAAATTTAAATGGTGCAAACCACATTTGCATTCTAATAAGTAGCTTTTCAACTGCACTTGTTCCAAGTTTGTTTGTCAATAATGATTTAACTTGAGTATTATATGTTCTAATAAGAAATTTCTTATATAGCAAGTAAGGTTCAAATTTTGCTACTCCTTTTTTGACAGCTAAACATTCTTTACGATTAATATTATATCTGATTTCTGCATCCCTAAAAGTTCCTGAAGTATAAGCAATAAACTCTTCAGGTCATTTACACAATGGATTACAAAGAATTTCTTAATGGTTTTCTTTTCTTTTAAAGATTGCTCCCCAATACATTAGAGATGCATCAGTTTCTAGAATAAAGAAATCATCATCATTCGGAATATTTA